GTTCACTCACGTTCCAAAGCGTGGTTCGTGTCCTGGAGCCAGAGGGCCTGGTCCGAGGCCTTGTTCGCACCCAGACGCTGAAGGTGATCTTGAAGGTCTCAAATCTTGACGAGAAGGCGTCTCAAAAATGACATAGTGTTGTATACGCGCTCCGCAAGACGCTCTGAAGAGAAGTGGGCCAAAATTGAAGCAACCTCCCGCTAAACGAGGGAAGAGCGAGCTTCTGTGTCTCGTTCCTTAGCCGTCGGAGCGTAATTGCGTAGTTGGAGTAGAAAATCTAACGAGTCACGGCCCAGCAATCCCTCTAAGTTCGCGAGGTCCTCAGAGCTCAAACTCTCAAACAAGAGAGGAGTCTCCAGATCGCCGCACCCGTCGTACATCCTCAACCCGCGCTGCAGGAGGGTTCCTGAGGTCCGAAAGCCAACGATGTGACGCTCAGCCGCCAAATCAAAGCTGGGCGGGACGTCCGAGCTCACAGGAACGACCGGTGTCCCCATAGAAAGCGAAGTCGTGGACGAAGGGATGACCCCCGGCAGGCAGATCCTGTCGGACTCTGCAATCAAGAGGAAGTGCGCAAATGCGCTCCCTCCAGCACTATGCTCGGCGCGGGCTGCGACGATATTGAAGGGCTTCTCGAGCCGTGTTTGTCGGCGGTGTCCCCGACCTTGACAGCTGGAGGTGGCTTTCCAGCACCCTTTTCCTCGTGTCGCCCTCCTTCTCGACCGCGGGCGAACCTTTCACCGCGCCGTTGGAGTCGTCCACGTCACCGTTGCCACCATTGCCAGGCATGTCCGCGCCTGTTGGTGCGTCTGGCGCGTCGCCGTCGGTGTCCTGAGCGACGCTACCATTGTCGGTAGCTGCTGCATCCGACCCCGGGCCGCCAGAAGCGTCTAAGGTGTGCGCGCCGTCGCCGGCAGGTGATGGTGCTAACGTCGCGATGACCATCTTATTCAACAGTTAGAATCGTTGATTGTTTGATTCGGAAAGGTCAGAGTCTTGATGGGTGTCTCGCACTAAGTGCGATTGTTGATCACCGTTCCGGAGTTGGGTCAGGCCCAAAGCGACAGGACGCAGAAACGATGTGAGAAGAGGCGGAATACCGATCCAGAGTGTCTAGTTTCAGACACAGAGGGTTCGCAGTCCACTCTGAAACCGGGATACCTCGTGATCCCGGACATGGCTTGGCACCGTGGAAAATTTCACAATAACCAGTCATGGCCAGGAGGGGCGGTTGTGATGAGGCAGTTCCCAGTTTTCAGGATAGTCTGATTTTGGAGTGCGACAATGGAGATCCGGAGATATTGATTGGTGGAGGTGAAACAGATGGTGCGACAAGTGTGGAAAGAAAGTTGGATGTGCGTGTAATGAGTGGAACTTTTCGATCAGTGTGGTGAAGAGCTTTTGGGGAATGTCTAAGGTAGAATACCTTGGACATAAGGTCTCGTACGATGAACTGGAGGCGAATCTGAAAGATCTGTCTGCATTAACTGTTCTAGTCTTTCCAGGATCACTCAGAGCTATGCAATCATTTTTGGGAAGTCTGAACTATTATAGCCGATTTATTGAAGACTACGCGATCTACGCGTCGGTTATGTACGAATTGCGAGAAATCGATTTTGCTGCGATGACAAAGGGGGCTACCCAAGCGCGGATCCAACAAGTACTGGAAGCGGAGGACGCAGATCAAGTATCGCAGGAAGATCGGGGTGTCGACCACCGAAGGACCTTGGATCTGGAGGCACCCGACCCTATTGAGATAGATCCACGTTGGATCCATGCTCATCGGTCTTTCAACGTGCTTAAAACCAGGATTGTTTCAACTCCGATCTTACGACACTTTGACCCAGATCGGAAGGCCACAGTGGTTGTGTACGCTAGCGACTGGGCCATCTCGGGAGCATTGATGCAAGAATACGCCCAGATCTACCATCCCGTGACGTTCGCAAGCCGTACTCTGAAGTCGAACGAGCTAAACTATGTCATCGCGGAGAAAGAGGTACTAACACTTCTGACGATCCTGGATCTTAACTATAATGGGTTGGTCGTGCGTCCGATCCATGTGTTGACCCGACACACAACATTGGCGTGGCTCTTCAGATTCACCGCCCTACAAGGACGTCTAGGACAGTGGACCGCTCTGTTGTCGCCCTGGACTTTTGAGATCACCAAGTGTGTCAAAAGAGAGCACGAGATCTTAGGAGCACTGGCGGCCAGAATTACCCCTAGTTCAGAAGTGGATAAGGCATTGATCTCAATTGCCCCCAAAAAGGAACCAAGACGTAAGATCCATACTCCGATCCCCACTGTTAGACGAGATGAGGATATACGTCGTCAGTTTCGATGGATCAGCCCGTGCCAAGAGAGGTGGAGGCGCCTACAGCGCGATCTTGTGGAAGTTTCCCGAGTGGAGGGTGCTGAAAGCTAGAGCAGGGTATGCCGAAGGCTTGACGGTGAATGAGGCGGAATATCATGGGTTGTTGCTATGTCTGGATCTGTTAGAAGATCTGGATCCACGACGTCTGGTGATCTGCGGAGACTCAAATCGGGTGATCCGACAAGTACGAGGAGAGATCGATTGTAAGACACCAGGTCAGACACTGTTACGCCAGCGAGCTTAGGACCGACTACGTACTTGACCAGATCATGAGCTGTTACACGTCAAACGAGACTGGGACGGGAGTGCTGACAGCTTAACAAGTGCTGCCTCGCAACGGCAATGTGGGATCGAAATAGAGTCTGACATAGAGATCCAGGATCTCCTGACCCTAAATCGGTTGGATGAGATCCTGATATCGAAAGTCGAAGACGAGATCGCATAGACATCAGCTGTGACGACCCGATCTAAAGCTAGATCGGGGGTGCGTTTTGGATCTGATCCAGACTCCCTACGAGAGGAAGTCGTGAGAGAGCTACGGATCGAGCGGATCCGACAAGCGCAGGACGAGGAGTTGTGGATCACGGGCTGGAAGAAGTATTTGGTCGGGGAGATCCGAGATCTGACACAAGAAGAGGCTAAGATGTTTGGATCTATTGCTATGAATAAGGAAGTGGATCAGTTGGATCTACTCTTCTATTGCCCGACGACTAAAGAAACCGCTGCAGATCGACCGGTGGTACCTGAGACGGTTCAACAGGACATTTTGCATCACTATCACACGAGCCTACTGGGTGGCCATCAAGGGATCGGTCGCACCTACGATCGGATCCGTGATCATTTCCACTGGAGAGGGCTGTACAAGAGTGTACAGCGATATGTGGGGGAATGTGTCTATTGTGAAACGGGCAAGAGACGATCCAGGGTGAGTCACCTGGTACCTTCAGGCGGCATACCCATTCCAGATCATTGCCATGGATCACATACATTCATTGCCTAGATCCTTCAATTGCAATACCGAATTGTTGATCTTCGTGGATCTATTCTCGGGATATGTAATCGCCAAATCCAACGCCTCTAGATCCGCTCAGACAATCGCCGAGACCTACGAAGAATGTGTCTTCCGCCGATTTGACACGAGCGAGGTGATCCGACACGATCGGGAGCCAAACTTTACGTCTGACTTCTTTAAGTCGTTCAACAAGATCCTGGGGCAACGCCAACGGGCTACTATGGCGTATCGACCCCAGGCTAATGGATCTGCAGAACGTATGGTCCAGAAAACTACCAGGGACCTTAAGATGTATGTGGAGGATCTAGATCAGCGAAATTGGGACGTGGGACGAGTACGCCGAACGACTCACCTTCGCGATCAATACTGCAAGGTATCGGATCCGAGGTGAAACGCCCTTCTACATGATACATGATACATGGCTGGGATCCCAGATCTACCTTGGAAGCGGTGATCCCGGTGGGGAGCACTCGCAGGCACGATCGAGATCCGAGAAGATGGCGATATCGTATGCAAAAGTACTATCAGCAGGCCAGAGAACAAGTGAACCAACGTCTACGTGAGGCGATCGCGGATCGGTACGATACGCATAATGCTCTAGTACGTCCTCATCCTGTAGATTCTGGATCAAGGGTTTGGTTATACCTAGATCGGGTACGTGAAGGATATGCAAAAAAGCTGGCGCACTTATGGCATGGTCCATTCCGCGTTGCCGCGAAGTTCGGAGAATACGCCGTGAAGTTGGAGGTAGCATGATCCGCATACAGCATTTTCCCGGTGGTGCATGTGTCGAAGATCAAACTGGTCAAGGTATTCCCAGATCAACCAATAGCTTGTCTAAACGGGTCAGAAGGAGATCGGGTGGATTTGGATGAGGCTCTCCTACCTGAAGACAGCTGGATCCACTAGGATCGAGATCCAGATGAATACGAAGTGGAGCGAATTTCCGATATGAGGACTGGCAAGAGGACTAGATATGGACGGATCTACCGAGAATTTCTGGTACACTGGCGTGGATATGAAGATCCAACCTGGGTAGATGAGACAGATCTCAACTGCGGTGCTCTTCTCTATGAGTTCTTGCGAGATCGCGCAAATCACAACCGTTTCGGTGTGGTGCAATCGCACGAGGAACCGTGAGATCTGGATCCACACTGGTGAGTTGGTCACTAGTGT